TGATCTCATCGAAATGAGGCTGAACATGAGGCAAAACAGCAAAATTCGACCTACCTGCGGCATAAAAGGTTGGCAAGCAGTAAGGGCGCAGAAATTGACATAGTTTGACGTCAGAGATCCACGTTATACCTATTTCGCGAGAGAACTATAATTACTGCTATTTTATGTGACATGGTGCCCCAGTTTGCTGACATCAAACCTTCGTTTGTGTTCGTTGTTTGTTAAAAACGAGACAAAATAAGCTTGCAGAAGATTGCACGTATTACTTGCCTAACGTTATGTAGAACAGTCTCTCTTTCGGTCTTAGGCAAAATTTTTCGACTCTTTGCCACTCGACCAATGGTATAATATCTTATGGATGCACTGAAAAAATAGTATCAAAATCTCAACAATACCTCTATAGCTGATTTTGGCGCCAGCCATAAGATAAGTTGCAGCTAGAAGTGTGAAGACACCAGCGAGCGGTATAGTTAATCCAACCACATTTATGCAAACTGTGAGGACACCAGTTAGAGGTATGGTTGATCCAACCACTTTTTCAGCAGACTTAATCATAGGTACTCTTGCTTGTGCAACTATTCTAATGTCTGGCGCCAAAATCAGCTTGAAGTATAGTTGGGATTGTGGTACTTTTTTTTCCGTGTGATTTTTGAAAATATCATGGAAAACGAAAAACTTTACTCGATAAATGTTTCCGCCCGCTCAGTACTGGGTTCATTTTCCTCGGAACTTCATTTTTGCACTTCTCCTCAATAACTTTACAGCAGTGACCGTCGGCTCCCGAAAAAGGTACTCTATTTTTCTAAAAAAAATTACCTCGAAATTTGGGTTTCAGCCAGGTTCTACAGTCGAACACTACAGTGTGCGATGTCGGGGTGGGAGAGGGGGTCCGCGCGGAGGGGCGGGTCGGGTCGTGATTCTATTTTCTTTTTTTTCTCGGCTCCGGGGTTTTGTTTGTAGAGCTCTCGGAGCCGGGCGCAGTGTTGCCGGTTGCCTACCCGTCCGGGAGTCGTCGTTGCGGGCGTCCCGGTCCGCGGGTGGCGGCGCGTGGCGGCGTCGGAATTTATTTCGCTTTCGTTTATGTGCGCGTCGGGTTTATCTTGCCCCGAACGGAGACCGGTTAGAACCGCCAGCTCGACCGGACATGGGATCTCGGACCCAGTGCTTTGCGATGTATCGATTAATCTGCTATTTAAATCTATGGGAAATGATCGATTATCAGGGCGTTTGCAAAGAACATCGAATAATCGATTCTTTACCATGGCTTCAAATGGGAAAATATCGATAGTCGACTCGGACTCTTTACCGGTGGCGCCGAGCAAGGGTCAGGGATCCTGCCTGTGATACCTATCGTTGGTTTTTTGTCCGTCCGCTAAACGTTATTTGATTTCCGCGTCGGTGTACGTATATGGACGGTGATACTGCGGAAACACGAATCTTGATTAGTGGGCTGAAAATTTTCCTCCCTCTTTTTTTCTTCCTCGTGTGAGGACTACAGGCGTATGCTATTGGCAATTTTTTAAAGTATCGAAATGAGTACACCGACGCTCTATGTATTGATCGATCGTGGACAACACCGATTGCGACCAGTGGCGTGGCCGATGGTCGATTGGTCGATTATCGATATTTCCCCATTTGAATCCGTGTTTAAGAATAGATTATTGAGGTTTTCGCTGCGAACATCCTGTTAATCGATCCTTTTCCATAGGTTTAAATGACAGATCAATCGATATATCCCTAAGCACGCCACTTTACTGATTGCGACTGACCAGGGACATTGAAATTTTTCGTCTTCACTCCATATTACATTTTAAAATCAGGATTTCTAAATGTTTCAGGATATTTTGCGTAAGAATCTTAGCCTTCACATTTAAGGGTAAAAAATTAAAAATTAAAAAAATAACCGGAAAATTTGTAAAAATTTGTGAAAATTTTTCAGTGAGTGATCTTGGGAAAATAAAAAATAACCTCAAGCTCCTTCAAATAATAACGATCAGATATCCCTCAAAACATTAAAATACGTCAGGTAATCTGCAGTGTTGTAAACTGAAATACGCACTTCGATAGTTTCGCCATGGAAATGTGTCTTTGTGGGGGGGGGGCAAAAATGTAGCCCAAAACTGTGAGTGATTGAGGTTTGACGGGTTTCTTTTTTTTGGGAGGGATGGTGTAATTGCAAGACTGCGCTGGTCTTTAAGTGTGTTGACTCTCAACTAGGGTCTTTCATCCGAATAAATCCGGTATTTTGAAAGATTCGGAGCCCTGTAATCACCTCAACTGGCGGATAGTTAAACACAGACCATACATTCGTGGATTGCACGCCCTCCATTTTGTCGGTTACAGACTATGAAATGCTCGTTCGTTTCGTCCGTTCACCGTAGTAGTTTAGTGTATTAACTAATAGTTTGTATAAACCGCTTAATTTTTCGGTTCAGATAACTCTCCTCGGTAACTTCCGTTTAGTTAATCAAATTCTTGGTTGAAATAATCAAAGCTTTTTTTTATATTTAAGTTTCTTTTTCTTATCTCCGCGAACATGATCAAGGATGATCTCATGGATATGGATCTCATAAGGTGAAGAGCACACTAATACATATGTGCCATCTCGCAAGCACAAGATGTGAATCGTTGTGATACCTACCACTTTACAGACCCTTCGAAAGCGATATTGTCTATATGATAAACTGAAGGAACTTTCAGAACCGCGAAATGTGCATTGAAACTGAATTCACAGCTGGTGAGGGAATCTTTTCAGCCATGTCTCGAGTCTCAACCCAACCCATCCGTTTTGACCTGGAATTCGCGAGTTTCACAGATACTGAAGTACAAAATGGACCACCAGACAACATTAAATCATTAGCGCTATAAGGAATCACTCCTTTTCAAAATACGTTAAACTTGTTAAAATAATTTCAAAAGTAACTAATGAGAGAGAAAAGTAGTGTTTATAGTTTACCTTGGAACCAGCGAATTTAAACTGCCAGCCCTAAGAATAGGTGAAATGATAGTAAGTTAAATTGCTCAAAAGAAGAATTTTTGTCTTTTGACAAATAAATAATTTTACACGTTTTTTTTCCTCTCTAAAATACGTTATTTGCAAAATTTTCAAAGAATATTTTAGCGTACTACGGAAATTGGCCACCGCAAAGAACATTAAAATTGGTGGCACGGTCAATTTGACAATGGCAGACTTTGGTTTCAAATTGGAATTTTAAAGTGGACCCATGCATTTTCAGTTCTGATTTCCGTTTTTAATAATGTCTAGAATGGCTTATTGGCCCTCGGACTTTACTCTTCGACGATTGTTAAAATCAATTTAATATTTTGACGAGCAAAAACGGCAAAAGTCTGAACACTTATGAACCATACTAGACACCATGAACAACAGAAGCCAGGGCACATTTACATTTTGTAATTTTATACCTCCCGAAAAGCACGATTCATTTCGACGGTGAAACTACGAGACCACGAATCTCTTTCGCGGTGTTTACAAATCTCCACTCCCGTTTTATTATTCTGAAGGGAACAAATCAAAATAATTTCTTGAAGTTTCACCGAGTTTTCCTTGCACAGAGATGAAAAATCACGGAAGTTATCAAGAATCGACGTTGAATTGTTAGGTTAGATTAGATTAGGTAAGGTTAGGTTAGATTAGGTTAGGGTAGGTAATATATAACCTAACTACGTCGCAAACTGAGTTACGTGGTCCAGTAGGTTCACCCTTGATGTGTCATAGTACTTAATTTCATTCACTGCGTCAAACTGCCGGTCATATACTCATTTTATAATTGAATCAATAAATACAACTTAATTAATTCAATTAAAATAGTGTATAATTCATAATTTGGCAATTGTGGCTTTATCACCCGCGCGTTTCTCGCCCCACCTGGCGGGCAAATAGCAAATAGTTTCATTCCAGTCATGTGTAGAAGAGTTCGCTTTGAATTGGAGCGGTCGGATTCCAATCAAGACCGTCGCAACCCGACAAGCCGTAGCACTCACTGTTTTTGGGACTCCCGCGGCTCAGTATTCCTCGGCACTTACGCGGTTTCGAAACTAAACGGGTTCTTATTACCGGTCTTTATGCCGGTCCTGATTTCGGTTGCGGTGCGACGCGACGCGAGAATTGGACGTATTTACGCCGAAAGGAACTATGCACAAAACAGATTAAATCAAAGGGGACTATGAAGCTCGAAAATCCCAGGCGGATAGTTCCTTTTGATTTAATTAATTTGCACATAGTTTCTTTCTGCATAGATGCGTTCAATTTGTTTTGCAGGTGAAAGGGCTGCGGAACACAGCAACGCTCCGCTTTGTCGGTGAGATTTTGCAATTTATGTTTGAATTGGGAGCGCGTTCCGGCACCTTTTTGAGAAAAACGGACGGTTTTGTCCATGGCTGTAAAAATTTTGATGGAAGTCGTTTTGGAGGGTTGCATATGTTTTTTTGATGATATTCGTTTTGACACCAAGACAATGGAATGATCCCTGAATGACTTATTTGCGTGTAAAATCAACCATTCCCAAAAATAACTGAAATTCCCTTTATGCCAGAACCAGTAACACAAGACTATTTTTACAGTGATAAATGCTACGGAAAGCTAATACGACGGTGAAAGTCGGCAATCACATAACTCGTTTGCGGTGTCTGAAAATCTCCGCCTCTACGTCATTTTCTTAAAGGAGAACAAATTGACATTATTTCTTGAAGTTTTTGCAGAATTTTCTTCGCATTGAGAAGAAAAATCATGACAGTTTTAAAGCATTGCCGTTGAGTAGTTTTGCCATTTAAAAAATAAAGTATGACAGGAAGTCTACAACGTCGCAAACCGAGTTATGTGATTGCCGACTTGCACCGTCGATTGTCAAACTATACCTGAGCCAAAAGGAGTCTCAATTTTTCACGCGCGGAATTGTCCTACAAAAAAACAAAACAAAAATAATAATTTCTCTTTGTCAAACACATGGGTAGGTATATGGCAAATATAACATACTCAATAATTTGTTTCTACTTTTAGGGATTTTTATTGATTTTTTCATCTTTGTTCAATAAAAATGAAAAGTATCTGGAACAAAACTTTTCCGCAGATATTACAAGTATTTCTTGTCAAATATTGCGTTACAGGTTTGTAAACGTCCACTTGTCCGACACCATTTAACGTGTCTTTAAGTATTTTGGGGAAACTGTATTTATTGACCGATGCATCCATTATGGAATAACTGCTTCCACATGAAAAAATCGAAGAGGAAAATTTAGTTGATTTCCATCATGTCGGTTTGCAATGATGATAATGTGGTCTGCACCTGAAAACAAAACAAATGTTTACCGATTCTATGAGAGCTTGGAATTGAGAGAACATTGAATAACACAATAGTATATAAAATAGTAAATAGAAGACGAATGACATACCATAAATCAAGCATTAATAAAAAATAATAAATTTAAAAAAAAGTAAAAAAAATAAAATACAAAGTATAGTATCTGCTGACGATTGTGTTCTGTTTCTCATTTCCCTTATACATTCTCAGTAAGATACTACTTGCTTAAAATTGTCTATATAGAAGGTAGAAAATTGGGGAAAAACATCATTCACTCACATCAGGCAAGAATGTGCTGTAATAATAAAGGAGATAAATGTTTGGGCATCGTTGACAAATTGTAATAACATAATGATTGAAGAGCTGTTATTTGAATGAAAAACCAAAAATGCAAAAATTAAGCTTTGAAACGACTGAGAAAAGGCAATCGCCAAACTACTTATATCCCGTAAAGTAAAGTAAGTAACAGTTGACGACTATTGGAATTAACAATCCTGCTAATAAACAAACTGTAGTAAACATTGGTTTGCGGAGTATGAAATGTATTATCAAGATAGTATTCGAAAATTTAAGACACGGAAGATCTCATAACATATCGACGCGTAATGTAACTAGTTGCCAGGAACAATAATTTAGCGCAAAGAAGTTTAAGCTGTGAGTTCAATTTTCGATTGCATAACAGAACTGATAACACACAAAAAAAGACTTACCCATTTAGTCAACTGCCGAAAATTGATAGGTGCTGTCATTGCCACTTGAATGGCCGCATTTTAGTGCATTCGGCGGTGTCAATACAAAAAAATTCTGGCATCCAATATAAATTAATGAAAAACGGCAAGAAAGCACCAGCTAAAGCACATATAGTAATCCACATGATTATTTTTTCTTCGATCGGGAGGGAATAGTTTCTAAACGACCAACTACCACAATTGAAGTGAAGCACCAGTAATTGCAGAGGGTAGAGACTTAGTTATTTTCTGTTGTATACAGGAGGTAAAAATATAGATGCAACCGGTGGTACTGGAAATAATGCTGCATTAATGAAGAAAACTATTTATTTAAAGCTGTAATTGATATGAAAAAGTTCAATCACACATGTCGCAGATGTTGCGCATGCTCATGGTTTCTCTTCTATTATCATAATGTTTTGAGTCTAGACGTTTGTTATGATAGTAAAAATTGATAAAAACAAATGACCGGAGAAGAGGAGCAGGAGCATTCAAACATTGATTCCATCTTTTTTTGATTTGTCAGATCAGAATATTACGGATAAGACTTCATTACATTATTATACAACATTTTTGTAAAGTCTGAACTACGATAAAATTAGAGAAGATGATTGATGAGAGAACTGACCGCAACAGCCAACAGCTGTCATTACACAAGAAATTCCGAAGACTTAACTTCATCCCCTCTTCAATTCAAAAGGCGGCAACATTATTGGGCCATACCTTGCGTTCAATTGAGACAAAGACTTATGTAATGCAAATAAGGAACTTAAACGCCTATATATACTAACGGTAAAGCAGCAAAAACATAACTTGTGTACATAACCGTCCAAAAGAAATGGGGCCTTAGCACATGGAAGCTCAATTTTTTAGCACGGCAATTCAAATTCCATGCCTCTAACACCATGAAAAATTGAATTTTCAAATAGCTCTTTTTCGGAATTTTTTTTTTTAGCTGCAAACTACAAACTATTCCAACTCGTTACGGTTTGACATTTTTGAGCGCTTTTGTCCCTAACTGTTTGTATGACACATCTCCATGCTTTCGTATCAAGGACTTAACATCTTTTTTTTACGAGCATGCTTGATATTTCTCGAGACCTCGGCTCCTTCGGGGTGGACTCAGCCCCGTTCGTTCCCGGAAGCTCAAGCAGGACGTCATTTAGGGATGAGCCGTATTTGCACTACCACTCCCACTCCCAACCCCCCCCCCCACTCCTGAATTTTAAAGTTAACATTTTTTGGGTTAATTATCACCCACAAATTGTCCAAAAACACCTTTTTTTGGACGACTTTAAATCTATAACTACAATAATCGATCGAACCCCTGTCTCGTTTTTTCTTTTTCTTTTTCTTTTTTTTTATTTTTTCTCGAAATAGACGTGTGTGATCCGATCCCGACCCGGAAGCGACGAGGAGGAGAAGGAGGAAGAGGGAGCTGATGAATCTGATGGATAGAGACGAGAAGTTGGTAGCCGGGCCGGAGAGTGTGTCGTAAATTAACGCCGGGCGGTACACAATGGCCCGCGACTCCGGCACTCGTCAATACTGTGCCAATATTGCTCACTTTCCAGTTCCAAGACTCCGGCCCCGGAGCCCGGAGCCCGCGCCTCGCCCTGGGGACAATTTTATATTCGCTATTAGTCACTCGGCTCCGTAACGCCTCGCTTCTTTGTCACCACTCTCTCACTCCTCCGGCTCCGATTCCTCCTACCCCCGTTGTCACGTCGCAGAGTGGATCGAGTCAATAGAGAATTTACAGCACTGGAAAAAAAAATTATTGGATCTAGAGTCCAGACTCTGGAAAACATTGACAAGAAGAAAATACTCTTGATTCAATTAGATTTTTGCCTAGATCAAAAGGATATCCGCTCAAATTAAGAGGCTTGGTTCTTTATTTAAGCAAAACTCCGATTGAATCAAGAGTATTTTTTCTTGTCGATGTATTTAAGAGCCTGGACTCTGGATCCAAAGTGTTTTTTTTTTCCAGTGAGGTGTCTGAAATTTGATGAATTTCGTGTTTAAGTGGAAACTACTGAGTGAGCTAAACACGAGGATACCCTGGGTCCATGAATTGAACAACTATTGGAGAAGATATGACAAAATGATCTAATCTGCTGAAATACGGGTGTTTAAATGGGAAATGCCGCCAGATGACATCACTAAGCGGTGCATTTTCTCACTTTTATATCTATTTTTATACTATTTCCCATATCAGGAAATAATTATAGAAAATACTGTGAAATTAGCTCTTTAAGCACTTTCAGATGAAGCAATAACAAATTTGCATGCAAATTGACATGAAATTTTTTACTAAATCAGCAAATTTTGATGCTCATTTTGTCACATTTTAAATTTTAAAGGGTACGTGTAGCAGAAAATTTCACGAGAAAACCAATGAAATCACTTTTAAAACCTCAAAGTTTTGTGTGATTGGAGTTGTAAGCGTTTAAAGTTTCCAAATTGTGTCCGACCTCTCCTATTAACACGATCCAGTGTGCGTCGTCGGGCATTAATAGAATAATTAATAGAATAATTTTCCACACTGAAAAATAACTCCGGCTGTGGAAGCCGTACTTACGGGCTATATACACATACCGTCCAAGTTCCGGGCTCAGAGGCCGAAAGTTCCGGGCGTAGCGCCCGAAGCAACCGAAGTTACGGCTCCAGCGCCCGGAACTTTCGGCCTCTAAGCCCGGCAAGGACGGTATGTCCATATAGCCCCTAAATTTTTTTACAGTGCACCAAAACTCAGATCATAAGATCAAACTAAGTTCATCAATCTAACAAAGTCGTTGCCGTTATTGGCTATTCGTCCACCAATCAAAGCGCGTCGCTGTCAAAGAGACGCAGGCTGCCTCAAGCGGATAGCATTGTGTTCTCATTGGTCGGATAGAGCGTGGAATTCGAAATCCAGGCTTTTAGCACAGACAGCCAAAATCAATCAGAGTCCTGGCGATCTGCCTTTTTGATTAGCTTCCAGTTTTAGGCATCGTGAATGTCACAAACGGGCTAAAGAGATTACACTCCCACCGGTTGCAAAGATTATGATTTGGAATAGACCAGGAATGAAGGGTCCGACAGGAAATAAACGGAGTGAGAGAGGAAATATAGTGAAAGAATCGCGGGATGAATTGGACGTATTTCTATCTAACGGAACTATGTGCATTATGACGTGAGCCCTATTTTGCACATATTCTTATGAGTCTCGGGGCTCATATCTGAATGCACACAGTTCCATTCGATAGAAATACGTCCAATTGTCCAAGGATTACGAAAAAGTCTACTAACTGCATGTAAACTTCTCCTTCCGGTTTGTGACTTCCGGAATCCGAGATGGCACAACATACTCGACTTGAGGCACCGCACCACCAGTTAGACACTGGTTTTCCAAGTTTTCATTTTATCGAGCCCTACATATAAACGATTGCGTGATGATGCATTTAAAAACTCTTTCATTTTAGATATTCAAATGTAAACCAAACGTAAGATTCCTCAACAACGTTTGTATCCGCGTTCAAACGGCCACCCAGGGCACACACTAGAAAAAAAAAAAACATTGGATCCAGAGTCCAGACTCTTGAAAACATTGACAAGAAAAAGGACTCTTGATTCAATCAGATTTAAGCTTAAATCAAAAGGAAATCTGCTCAAATTAAGAGGCTTGGTTCTTGATTTAAGCTTAAATCTGATTGAAGCAAGAGTATTTTTTCTTGTCGATGTTTTTAAGGGTCTGGACTCTAGATCCAACGTGTTTTTTTTCCAGTGCAGGGGGCACAGCGCACAGCCCCTAGTTAATTTTAAAACTCATGTTTAAAATTCGTTGAAAGAAGCCTCGCCCAGGTTTATTGATTCTTAACAAGTCGAGAGTCCATTAGTGCGGTTCTGAAATGGTCAGAATCCTCCGATTTGGCAAATCTGCGCTGCTGTGAAGCGCGCATTTTTAACGGCAACGCTTTGTTAACAAATTCCAGGACGGTGGATCAGTATCTCTCCTTTCCCGCGCTTTACTGGGAAAAGCGTTTTAAATTAGGAGCGAACATTCTTGTTCCCATCCTATATCTCAGGAGCTCCCGCGGGAGCAGCGTCGTATTAACTTCCTCGATACTGCAAATGTGGATGCCTCGACGGGGGAGCCTCTGCAGCGTTTTCAAAGTGGGAGCAACAGAATTCACCAACAATTCGATGAGGAATCCGTATAATTCTTCTGCCGTCCTAGGCAAAAACGTCTCGATTCGGGATGAAACGGGTCACTTCTAAAGTACTCTCCGAAACAAAAAATTTGCAGTCTTTATTGAGAATTTTCAAATTTACTGCGTTTACTTGCGGAAATTTATCTTCTAAGTCAGCGGAAATCAGATTCGCCGAAAGATCAGATTCGTTCAATGTAGGAAAACCTATCCTAAGTAACGAAGAGAAGAACAACGATGTCCGGTTATTTATCTCTATTGTAAATTTGTCACAAAATATTATATAATAAGTCGTACACCTCAACTCTTTTATTTAAATTCTCTGTTCACGGAAAAAGAAGTTACCTATTGTATTTCCTATTAATTTCGGTAGTATCTCAATAAACTACGTTAGTACCCCCAATTAATTGTGGTAGCACCCCAAGAAATTAGGTTGCCAACCCAAATGTTGCGATGCTACCCTAACTTCAGCTGCGATACTTCCGCACATCATCAAACCGATTGGATTAGTACCGCAATTTTAGAGGATACCTAACTCCTAACCTTTTTTCCGTCTTCATTAATACGAAAGTGCTGTACCAATGAATCAGTCCTGAAATGATGCTCGATATCTTTATTTAATCAGCTGTTTTCCAAATTTTAGTAAACATGCATTCTTACTTTAAACATTTATTCACTTTTATTTATGTTCATATTTAATCTTTGTTTCAGGTAAGGGCTTTTGACTGATCTTAGCAGTTTTTGTTCACTGTAACGGTAATTTCCAAAAATTTGTCATATTTTTTACATATTATGTATTCCAAACATAATACACCTCATCACGCATGAAAATTTGTTTCTCGGAATGCGAACTTCAAATAACAATATAATACCAAACTTCAATAACCAAACACTTTGGTTGTCCGCGTGAATGGAACTTTGATCGGTTTAACCGGATTTATGCTCTCTCCGTGCACGGTTGATCGCGAGGTTCAGGGATTTTCACTGTCATCCGCGAAGTTTTTTCAAACGAAGGGTTAATACGACAACATCGTACTAGCGGCTGCTATAATATTCACATTACAACACCTTAAATAAACCAAGTTCATTTACCATCCCACCCCCATCCTAGCCTCCACAGCGCCCTCTACCGGCCGAGGCGGGGCGATACCAAACCACGCAACTCTCCACTTTCAAAGCCGGCGAATGCGCGGTTTTCGGCGCTCCGCG